GGACTGGCGGTTTGGGGGGGGTGTCACGGCTCTCCCGGGCCGCGGCTGAGCAGAGGTGGCCGCGGCTGTTGGGTTGTGAGGTAGCTTGGGGGCATGAGCCAAAAATATGTGCATGTGCAAATATATGTGGGTGCGTGTTTATATACGTATGTTATATATATATTATATATATATGCGTATGTGTATGCGTGTACAGTCGTGTAAAAGTCAGCAGCAAGCGATATCTGCAGGGTGTGTGCGTTGCGGTAGTTGGAGATGCACCCGAGCCACGCGGTGCTGTTCCTTTTGGCATGTGCGAGTATGCTGGTTTCTGAGGCCCTGTGTTTTTAAGACGTGGAAACAGGAAAATTGGTGTTAGTTTGCTGAAAGTCTTTTGGTTTTCTGCTTTAGGTATGCGCTTGGCTGTTGTGTTACTAGAAAAGTATTTGAATGTGTGTGTGTGTATTAGCTTTGTAGATGTAGTACTCTCCAGTGAGGTGGGTATCTTCAGAAAATTATAAAACTCTGTTGAGGACAGGGGAGCTACAAGTCCAAAATAATAATGGCTGTCTTTGAAAAGGAGAGAGAATAATTTTAATTAATTTGGGCACAGAATATTTTGCTGAGTGACAGTTTAGTCTCTTCTTCCCCCTACCTGCTGTGTTTTTGTTCAGTGCAGGTTTTTTGTCCACTGACAATGCACCTTTGGTTATTTCAAGTGTAAGAAATAAAAATAAGCTTTGAAGGGGCACAGTTTGCTCACGCATCATTTTCCACTGAAGTGGCTTTAGTCTTTTTAAAATTTTAGTGTTCTAACGCTCTGTCATAATTACCTCACGAGTTACCTTTTAGTTTTTTTTCTCTTTCTTTATGTGCTTGAGAATATCTTGTGTATACACAGTAGTCCAGCGTTTGCTTTTGTATTGAATCCAGTTTGGTTCCTTACTTCCCAGATCACTACATAATAAGTACACACAAGTAGGAGGAAAACAAAGATGACACTATTGAATAGCAGAGTTATAATACTGGCAGGCTGGAGGAATGGACTCTCACTTGCTGTTCTTTGACATGATAAGATTCATGTCCTTTTGAAAATGGCAACTTTGGGAAGTCTGCAATAAGTAGTCTAGGTTCACAATGGTAAGGCTCATTGTTTAAAAGCATCTCAGATGCAATTTCAAAATTCCCTTCTGCTGCATCCGCTTCCCACACATGCACCATTTTGGGATCATTCTGAGCTGTTCTTAAGGGTTGCAAAAAATCCAGCAGGGTTTCGTCGTATCTCAACTTGGAATGTCTTGTGTTTTCACAAAGTTTTAATTAAAACCGTTGAATAGATAGAGATGAATAGGAGGCTGAATTTTGGACACTTTTGGAATAGAAGTTATTTTTTTCCAGGTATTGCATGTGTTATTGTTTTCCGAGACGCTAACCAAACCTTAAGCAAAAAAAAGCCTCTCTCTTGTTTATAACTTTTGCTTTGTTCAGGTTTGTGGTAGGTGTAGAGTGATACTTACTCCAGTTGAACTTCTTGTAATAACCTTCTAATAACTACTGTTTTGTTTCTTACAGAATTGGTGAGAGGGAAAAAGCTTGCTTTTTATGAAACATTTACCGCATTTTGAGAAACAAGTCAGTAAAGCCAGCAAAAAGCTAATGTCTTCAGAAATGCCAACAGAGAGTCCAGAGGTGCCAACAGAAAATATCGTGCCCACGGAGGTTCCTGATGTGGGAGGAAAGGTGAAATCAAATGACAGTCAAGTAGAGAGACAGGAGGCAGGCTCAGACAAGGCACAATGCCTTGAACCCATGTCCAAGAGGCAAAGGAAGAAACTGTTGAAGCAGAAACAGTGGGAAGAACAGAAAGATCTACGCAGGTATGGTTTGAAATATGGCTTTCCTAGGATCATGTGTAGTATTTAATGCTAATAATAATGTGTGAGCAGAATTTGCACGTAGATTGCTTTAGCAAGCCAAGGCAGTTGAACCGGTTTTCTCCTACACCAGGTTTAAAGCAATAGGCACAGACTGCTCCATCTGAGCATCAAGAAACTGCAAAGGTAAGCATCCTCTCTTCATACTAGACATATTCCTCAACTTGAAGAGGATACCAGGAGGGATTCAGACTTGCTTACATATATGTGACCTGTTTGCCCAGAGGGAGAAATACCATGCGGCCTTGTTCCTTTCTGAACTGGCTGTGCACTGTTCCCCTATTGCTGTCAGATTTGGTGAGTCGTACACACACTGAATAAAAATTTTCTTCTGATATGTAGAATATTGTGCCATAAATGATCACAGTGATTTAGTAGATTTGCGATCTACTAAAATGTCATTTTGTGGAAGGTGGTGGATTTCCATATTGTCCTGCTGTTGAGAGAAAGCATATCTGCAAATGGGCTGATCTTGGTTTCTGCTAATCTCGCTGAAGACAAAAAGGTTCCTTCATAAGACAGTGGCTTTTAACAGAGAGCTTCTGAAGCTTTCTCTGGAACTTGATCCTGGACTATCTGCTTGCATTGGGCAATGGAGGGGAAGAATTAAAAAAAAAAAAAAAAGTTGCTTCAGAAATCTCTTGAAAAGGTCCATTCAGTAGAACAGAAGCTAAATTGCCTTCCACGTTCCGATTCTGTTATTGCAATTTTGGTAGTATTTTTGGTTATTCCTGATACATGGCCTGACTCAGGGCACCCCTAAATCCATGAAACTCGCTCTATTGACTTCACTTGGACTTTTGTCAGGTATCTCTCTCTGTAGGCATGTCCAGTACTTTGCAAATAAAGATGAGGTACCTGTTTTGTGCTGATGTTAGCCTAGCACAGATTCAAGCAACAGAGGCAAGTTTAAACTACCGTGGTCTTGGGACAGTCATCTCAATCATAAAAGTATATTTTTATCTGTTTACTCAGCGCATATTTATTTATTTATTTATTTATGTTTTTTATCAGACAGAAACGAAAAGAAAAACGCCAGAAGAGAAAACTAGAGCGTCAGTCAAAATTGGATTCCAGTAACGAAGGGAATGACAGAAAGCGTATGCGAAAGGAAGTGATTCCTAGTACGCTTCGCCTCGTTGTGGACTGCAGCTTTGATGACTTGATGGTGCTAAAGGTAAAAGAAATTTATCTGTCAGACCCGGATGTTGAAAAGTTCTCTAATGCCAGTGTTGGTGTGATAAGAGAGCAGAAATATTTTAGAGCAGCCATCAGTGGATAGTTGGAGTGTTTCAGAATGTGGTGACTCCTGTGGTTACATTAACTGCTGACTTTTTCAGGGTTTGGAATATACCATTGTATAAGCTTGCCAAAGATCTTGTTTACCTTCATGGACCTGCGGTAAGTTGGTTTGATTCCAGAGACAGAAATGGAGAAGTAGCTTGTGTCTCATGCTCAGCTTGAAGCTGCACACAGTTCTGCCTCAAAATGGTTCTGCTAGAGGGGCTGCAAATGCCACGTTTGGTTACTTACTCATTTGAAGTGGACCTGCGGCTCCCAGCAGTGTTGTTGATGATGTGTGGAAAGCAGAATTTTTAGCCCTGAGGATACTGAGCTCAGTCACACCAGAGGTAGCTGGGACAGAAAGTTAAGCAATTCAGCCTGTCTCCTGAAATCTGAGAATGGTGTGGTGTTGAAAGAATTGGTGAATGTGAGAAGGATCAGTGTGGTATCTCATGACTAGTTAAGGTGCCGCGTTTGGCGTTTTGAGATCAAAACAGCTTTTAACACTAAAACAAAAGTATATTAATCTGCAAACTCCTGTGAGACTGCAGCCGTCGGTGTTTGAGGCAAACCTTTCCCCTCCCTGTTACCCTGAGCTGTTCTACTGCTGCCAGGGCCTTCATCTGCCCTGGAAGACTGCTCAAATTCAAACTTTGGCAAAGCCCGTCTGGCTGCATGTGGAACGTAGTGCAAGGCATGTATAGTACTAATGCAGCCTAGTGCCACTAAGACTTTTGGGGAGGCTTCGGTTGCTAGGTTGGAACCTGGTTCCCTGAGGGCTCCTCAGCACTGCTACGGAAGAGATCGGAGGAGCCCCTGGGTACATTTCAGAGATGCTGCCTGTGCATTTCCTGCTAAGCTTCATCCTTTGTAAAACATGTTTCCTTCCCTAATCAGCTCCCTCAGAGCCCCTGTTTGGCCTGGTGTAAAACTTGGTGCCTTTGCAGGTATTGAGCAAGGTTGAAATGTGTCATATGCGAAGGTGTTTGTGGCCACTAGGGATGGTTAATTAGACACTTTCTCTAGCTTCTCTAGAAACTTGGGTTGAAATATTGTAGTTTTGTTCATCATTTGAAATCCTTTAAAACTTGGAGGTACCCAAACATTTGAAAATTTCTACATGAATAAAAGCAATGTTTCATTTTTAAATGGGAATCGGTTATAAGAAGACTCTTCTTGTGGAACCCCGAGGCTAAAGGTGTATAAGGTACCTTACAAAAAGGATAATTGACTAACAGTTGTCTGTTGCATTTTAAATGGTACTGGATAACTACTGTCAGAATGCTGGAACCTGCCACTAAGTTATTTACATTATTTTGGGGTTCTTCAGGTTAGTTTTGCAGATTTCATTTTCTTAACTACATACTGTACAATCTCAAGAGTTTTCTGTGGATGAAAGGCTGAATGAAGTTGAAGAGTGAAAAATCTGCTTGATTCCTCAGATGAATTTGAGTATGTTATTATACATAAACAAATCTGAATAATTTTTTTGTTTCGCAGAATAGTGCAAATCAAATACATGCATAAAACTGTCTAAATACCTGTTTTGTAGAAGATGAGTATGTGTGCGTATCAGCGTAACCCCCTTGCAATCGCCCTTTTTTCTTTGATACTGATGTACACGTGCTCTCTCTCTCAGCAGTCATTTTTGCCAGTTAAAAGCTTCCTTTTTTTCTCTTTAGCTTCTGACTGGCTCATGGTAAAGCATTTTGTGGTGCTCTGTCTGAAGGACTATGTAAAAACAAATTGTGTTGTATACAGGATGTTAAGAAGCTTCACAAGCAAATTCAGAGATGTTATGCAGAAAACCGCAAAGCGTTTCATCCTGTGCAGGTATGTTTAAACAGACTCAGCAATGACTGTGTTCTCATATATAAAGCATATGAGAAAGGCAGCAGTGATGCCAACGGGTGACAGCTGTAGTAGGCAGACAAAACAGTTTGTCTAAATACACTCTTTTTATTAAAAGGAATAGTACTTCTAATAGATTAATTTTTAACCCATGTATTATATAAAACAACATACATATGAGGAAGTATGTGCACGCAGGTAAGAGTGCCATATACAGGCATACCACTAAAACACTTTGTTGATACTCAGTTTTATCTATGACAGATACACCCAGAGGGACTGCGTATGTGCATACTTGTCTTTTAAATGTGTCACTATGTGAATATGGTCTTAGTATGATTTTTCTTAAGCTAAATAATGATTTAAGAGTTTTAGCTAACAGTTAAGGGTAGAAAAAAAGACTTGTGCAGATAGGAAGCAGATTGGCATATTCACGTTTCAATATTATGTACCTTATGTTTGTTCTTTTCTAAGTTTTACTTGACCAGCCATGGGGGACAGTTGAAGAACAACATGAATGAAAATGACAAAGGATGGGTGAACTGGAAGGTGAATAACTGACTCTGTAAAAAGAAAGGGGTGGGGGAAGATTATCATTGTTAACTAGGTTGTTTGTTGTGAAGGACCTGTGCTTTTTTGATGTGTGTTTTCCTTCCCCCCACCCCAACCAAGACATCAGTGAGTTAGAAACAAGTGTGGCTCTTTGTGCTTTTAAATAATTTAATTTGACTGAGCTAAGGACTGCTTGGCTTGAATCTATATTTGATTTTTGGTTTTGGAACCCTGCACACCTGTTTTTATTGAATAGATACTATTCTCTGATAGGCTAGGCAAGACAATCTTCAGGCAGTTGCAGCAGTTGCCCATCTTGACAGTGCTCTCTTTCTTGGAAAAAACACTACTTTGAAGTCCTGGTGCAATTTTCTTGCCATTGTGTTGCCTCTCAACACTGAAGTGTTCTGTAGTGAGTAAGCTTGTCTTGTCGAATTCATGTTTTTTTTCTTGTGAGTTGCAATTAAAACAAATCAATGTTCCAACAATTTTATCTGCACAAAGTGCTTTTCATTTAAAGAATAGCTTTACTATCAGCAGGCCTTGTGCGATGACTGCTTTTCGGAAGCATAGCAAAAACCTCTCTTATCAAGCAAGTAATGTTAACTAAGCATATACTTGTGGTCTCACTTTTGGAAAGGAGGAGTTCAAAATGATTGGGATCCCTAGAGAACATGTGGTAATTTCTGAAGAGAATCACAAGAACTTAAGGTTTTCTGAGGCTCTTTTGGGCTTTCAGAAAGTTTCTTGATAATTTTTGCAAGTCATTGCATTGGAGAGCTGTGGTAGGGACTGTGGATTATTTATGCAGAAAGTAATCTGTACTGTGGTATATACTGAAAACAAAGCAAAACACGCACTTGAATCAGGGGCAGAGAATGAACTGCATACTCTTAGCTTTATATTTGCTGGTTCCATCTCGGGTCTGTGAAACATATGGCTTGCCCAGCAATTCATCAGCTGAATGTAACTTATTTTAACTACCTTATGTTTTGGAGGATATCCAAATTAGAACAGAGCACTATAGCGAGCTAATAAAGAAAGAAGACCTAGTGTATCTTACCTCAGATTCCCCGGACATTCTCAGTGAGCTTGATGAGAAGAAAGCCTACGTAATTGGAGGTCTGGTGGATCACAATCACCACAAGGTAAATGGTGGCTGCAGTTCTTTACAGCTTTTTTTTTTGCCCCCTTTTTTTTTTCCCCCTATCTTATTTGATATTAATGTTGTACAAGAGTAAACTAACAATAATAATAAAACTTATTTCATAAAAGACTTCATTCAAAAAAGCTTTGAAGAAACCAAAAAGCGTGTAGTGGTGGCAATGGCTTGTGTTCCAGAGTGCAGACATGCTGAGGCTTTTTAGCATTTTGTCTTTTCATTTTAAATATAGGAATGGAATTAGTAACACTGCTCAGCTTACCGAGGGCCATATTTTCAGACAGAAGGCTTTGGTTTCTGTGCATGCAGTTGCATGTGTGCTTGTATGTGCACATGCCCAAATATAGATGAAGAACAGTGCTTGAATCTTGAATGTCCTTTTTTAACAAGTTTGCCTGTCGGGAGGACTTGGCTAAGTAACACATGCCTCGGGGATCTAGTTCCATACCTGGACATGGGATCATGCTGTGTGCCTGGAGTGTCATAGAGAATGCTGTTGGGAAATCAAAGCACTGTTACTGCTTGTCTTTAAAGACACTCCTGCATAATTTCTAGTGACCTGTTTAATATTTCAATGTGATACTAAAAAAAGGGATGAATCTTAAGCCTTACCAAATGATACTGCAGCAGTTAGTCCACAGTTGAAGGCTGGGAGGGGGATAAAACAAGTCCCTTAGACAGTCGTTATGGTATGAAATGTTTACTCGCTTCTTAAAGCGTTTTATTGCATCTTGGGCACAGGTGTTGCTAGATTTAAAAAAAAAAAAAAATTCTTCCTCTCAAAAAATACTTAGTTATTGCAATCTGAGTAATTTTGCATGGAAGCCCAAAGTCATCTTTAAGACATTGGTATAGCTGATGTGTTCTAGAGTTCCAGTTGTGTAAGCAAGTATTAGTTATCATTTTGACCATACATCACAGTGCCATATATGTAAGGCAGTAAGTTTTCCTAAGGTAGTCCTTGAAGCATGCACTATCTTACCTAGGTAAGTTTCTGTTCGTAAGTAACTTCTTAAAGTAAGAGCATGGCAATGCTGGCAAGACTCTGACCAGAAAACAATACTTCTCGTAGTGGTGATTCTCAATCCAATTGTTTTTGTGTCTTTCCTAAAGGGAATTACTTACAAAAGAGCAGTAGAGCAGGGAATTGGTCATGCACAACTCCCTCTTGGAAACTTTGTGAAAATGAACAGTCGGAAGGTGTTAGCAGTCAATCATGGTAAGTCTTAAATCACAAAATGACATTATTGTAGAACATACCTGTAATAATAAACATTTGAACCCTCAAAATGTGCATTACAGTGCAGATATTTTAATATTTCAGTGTTTTTTGAGTCCAGTTGCTTCTGGAATACAGTAGTTAATGTGACCTTTTAGTATTTTCTATGTGGTTAAATATAAAGGTGGCTAAGGAAGCGTCTTAATCGCTTAGAAGTACAAACCCTATTCTGTTGACCTTTCCCATGAGTAATTGTTGGCTTTCTTACCATCCTGGCCTTGTTTCCCAGCTTAATGGGGAAGTGAATAAAATTTGGAAACTATCCCATATATTTTGTCCTATTGGAGGATAGATATATGTAGATAAATACATGTTTTCATCTCTTTTGACAGCTTTGTTAGGCAGTAACACCTTTAACTCTAGATTTGACCTCCTTTGGTATCAGCAGCACTCCATCTCGTGAGCTTTTATTACTGCATTTTTACCTGATTTCCTGGTTCTAATTAAAGTGTACAGTTGCGCTTAACCTGTTCTTGAATTCCCAACACACAGACGCATGTGTACACACATGCATGCTTTTAACTGTTCACTTTCACTATTTGTTATCTTTCAGTGTCCTTAAATGAAAGTACATTCAAGGTTGGTGCTGCTCAGACCTTTGTAAGAATTTCTTTGACAGCGTGCAAATCTTTACTTTGCATCTCTTCAGGTTCTTTTATTGCATCTTATCCTACTTTAAGGTTCAGGTTTATTTCACGATTAAACACATCTCTTGACAATAACTTTGTTCTTAAAATGCCATTGGTGAATGAGGTTTGCATTTGTAAGATAATGAAGCGTATTTAAGCATAGCAGAGAATATACCTTGGGGTGTGTTTTTTTTTTTTTTTTTTAATTAGTATGTCGCTGGCATTGAAAGTTACCACAGTCCTTGTATTTGTAGGGTTTTTTTCGTGTTTCTAGAACTCAATCTTTAAATGTTGCTTCATATGTATTTTATATATTATTCATCAAAAGTTGTAGCTTTCTGTTAATGATTTCCTGCAATAATATTATACTGACCTCTAGTGGCAACATTTTGGAGGCTGTCATCTAGCAGTCTAAGCTCCAGATACAAATTGGATCACTTATATTGAGACTTTAATTTGTTTGCTTTATGGTCTTGGCCATGTTTGCTTTGCCAGATTTCTGGAGATATTTAGATACCTGATATCACTGCAGTTTAGTTGCTACAGTTTTATTCTATGTGAGATTGTTTTTGTTTTTTTTTCCCTTACCCTTCTAAAACGTTTTCAAACTGCAAGTGAAAGGTTCTTAACGCTATTTTTTTTTTTAATGTTAAGCTTGTACTGTAGCAATATTTTGTTTAAGGATTTTAGGCAGGAAAATTTTAAAAATTGCAAAAAGTTGAGCAACTATAATTAAGGCTCTGATATGTTGCAACCCTAATAACATACAACCTGAACAAAAACGGACTGTTTTCAGGGATGATACTACTTGACGTGAGTAAGGTGGATAGAATCAAACTGGCACTCAAATTGCATCTTATAAATTCTTATGTACGAGTGAAAGGTATTTCTACTAAGATTTTTTGAAATTGGCTGTGAATGCAGCCACCATGCTACTTTGTGTAACACTATATTTTGGTTATTCAAACTTAGGGGCTCCCACACTCAGTCCAGAACTTAAAACTTGCAAAGTACAATATGTGTCTCGGCAGACAAGACTGAGAGACCTACTGGGTTCCTGTGGGACTGTTTTTGAGAGGTGTGAATTTGGAAAGTCCCATAGAAGAAATTCTTTCTTAACTGCCTTGTCAGTCTTTGAAGCACTTTAATTAAATGGTGTCCTCTGGTGGTGGGAGATAGACAGCGTTGTTAAACATGAAATTCACTCCCCTCCCCCATTTGGGATCAAGTCGTCTTAAATTTCCACAGGCAGTTAGTTCAGTGCCTGAACTCTAAAATTTCCATGTTAAAAAGTCAGGAGGAACACACGTGTTATTTTGTATTAGAGAACTGGCAGGCTTTGTGATAAGTTATTATTATTTTTTTTTAAACTTGATCTGAATTTTCAAAACATTGAGATTTGAGATCCGTATTAAACACTATATGCAAAACACAATTGCAGTTTTGTGTAGCTGAGTGCGTTTACTTCCTTCTGTTCAGATTTGTATCCTAAGGGTAGTACTTTCCAATGTATGCTATTAGAGCATATTGTTCTATTCCAGTATGCAACGAAGTCTAGTAACTGTTTCCATTGCCTTTTTCTGTCCTTGCTTAATGTTTTTGTTGCTGTTGTAGTGCATCATAGGTATCTTTGTCCTGTTCAGGTTGTTCTGTTTCCATCAGTTCTGTTTTTCACTATGCAGATAAAGGCAGTTCCAAAACAAAGGAGAAGATGCATACTCACTGTACTCTTCTTGTCTCTTAAACCACTATTTTTGCCACATGTGCTATCTGTAGTAACTTCCAATGATATTAATATAGTCTCTGGGGAGATCGTAACTCTGCTGTACTTCTCAGGTGAATAATGCAGTTAGTAAAATGGACAGCTCTTCAAAATCAGTGTCATGGATAGCAGCTGGCTGTCTAGTAAACCTGGATCCAGGAAACCTGTAGTAAATGTGACACTTTTCTGTAATTTGATTCTCAGTAAGAGATCCATGCACCTCCTCCCTTTCTGAATGCTTGCCTGGCTCTCTGGGAGGGTTTTTTCCCTCCACAGCTCCTTTGATCCTTTCTCGTATGCTCTTGGTTGACATTGAGAATGCTCGCACTGGGTGCATTCTTTGAAGTTGGCATTCTCCAGCCCTGTTAGCACTATTCTTGTAGTCTCAAGTTTGAGAGCCTCCCCTCTGTCGCAGATTTTTCACGCTAGTCTAGTTTACTCACCCGCCACCGGGCCTCCTCCTGCCTTCACCGCTTCTACAGGGACACACTCGTGTTGAGTTTTGGTACTCTTCAACATCACTGTGACTTTTTAAATTTTGGACATCTGAGGTTTTTCTAAATAGGAATATGCTGATTAAAATTTGCATATAATGCAGTTTGGAGGTATTGTCAGTCAGAGGAAGTTTTGAGAGATGAAACAGGAGGACTAAGGGTGACCTGATAATTAGCATAATAGAAACAACAAGAAATTCAGTAGTGCTAAGGGAAAGCACCACAGAATTGGAGACTAGTAACAAGAATTTTTGCCATAAGCTCAGATTTCATCAAATGGAAATGAAAGAGAAAGATAACAACGAGGATACAGTAGATTTTTTTAGGAAGGCTTTGGGCTGTCCTTGTGTCGTTGTTAAAGCGCATCCAGAGCGGTATTCCTGTCAAACATAGGAAAGCATTAGTGTGAGTATAAAAGGCACTTGTGAGACCTGGAGTTCTAGGATGGACAACTTGTACCAAAGAGAAATGAGTTCAAATTGGAGCAGTGGCAGAAAAGGATACTGGAGCAGTCAGGCGAATAGACTACTATTTTACAAATGAAGACTCAAAAGTGCTTGGCTTTAGACTGCAGTAGTAGCAGAATTGTTTTGTCTGAGTCCGCCTGTAGGTTTTATTCTGAAGATGCCAAAAACAAATGCATATAAACCCCTGTAAAGATGGATTTGGGTGTATGTTTCTGTCAGCAGTTCAGTCGTCTCCCTGTAGAAGAGCTGATGGTCTTTCTTGATGTTGCAGTGTTTGAGATCATCCTTGCATACCTGGAGAAGAGAGATTGGAAGGAGGCTTTTTTCAGTGTCTTGCCACAGCGGAAAGGGGCTGTTCCTTTGGGAGAAGCCAATGATTCATCCAAACATGCTCTCTCTGAAAAAGAAGATGAAGACAATGACTCGGACAGCAACTAGGCTTCAGGATGAGATGGGAAAAATGAGACATGCTGTTCATGGTATAAAATTGGGACACAAAGTAGTTAAACCCTGAAGACAATCTGCTGCCCTTGATATACTGAATTATCTCAATGCTCAGTAGTTACGTAGCTGGCCCAGAACTGGACAGAAAGGGTAAAGATAAATGCTTTTTTTTACCCTGAAACTTCCATATTAGTAGCTTTTTAAAAATAAATTAATGGCAGAAATTATTTTGTTTCCTAAGGAAGCTACTTTATTTATTTTTTGTTTTATTATACATGTGAAGTTGGGTGTATTACCCAGAAGCCTAAAGCATTAGTAATTACTGTTTTATGCATGCATTCTTGTCCATTCCCACTCTAATGTTTCTTAAAAGCAGTGTACAATAAGAGCTCATATGACCTCAAATCTTGTAGCAGTAGTGCCTGTTGCAAAATGTGTATGATCACTCAAAAAAAATTTTTTTTCTACTTTTCCTGAGGATCTCAACAGACAATCACAAGCAGCTGAAGCCACACTGACTGATTTATACTCCTGTGTTCAGCTGGTTGGGGTCAAGCCAATACTTTAGTTTGAATGGGATGAGTGCCTGCACACGTGCAGATTTGGTGGCTTGGTTGGCACACAGTACTTGTTATGTTGAAATGGCTCAATTACTTTTGATTATTTATTATACTCTTAGCAAAACCTATCCTGCAGTCTCAAAACAATACCAGGAGACAGCCCAAGAGTACCAGTGTCTTGCAAGTTGCTTGTTCTTCAGTTTTAGTATGACTGTGTACCACAATGTTGTATTAATTGCATTTTCTGCCAAATAATTTTCCTTCAAAAAAAAAAAAAACCCACTATTAACCTCTTTTTCAGTCTTGAGTAGAAGCTCTGATCCAACTTACTTTTTAATTGACTTCAGTGCTTTTGCAAAGTAATGGAATAGACATCTTGGGAAGTGTGACTTCATTTCATGCCTGTGAGGCTGTCCCATGCCTTTCTTTTGTAGGGACTAGCCAGGCAGCTGCAGTGAGCGCTTTGGAACGTGAACAAGCGTGCGCTGATTCTAGGTTGAAGCAGCTTTCACACAGGTTGGCTGAAGAGTATAAAACCAAATCATGACAACTGTTCATCTCTTCTCAGCTGCAATCAAGAGGGTGCTATAAATATGTATCTATATATGGCTTATATCCATCTCTAGTCCTCTCTCTTATTGCTGCTTGCAAATTGAAAACAGAAGTGGGATCCCTGTAGGTATTTGCATGGTCCATAAAGGGTTGGTAACAAACTAGTCATGACTTTACATACTTAGTGCGCTGCTTCCTATGCTTTTTAAATAAGCATTGTCAAGTTTTATCTGTTGAAAGCATGGGCTGCAGATTAGTTTTTTGCTATGCAAAAGTGTGATTGCTTTTGTTGCAGAAACTAGATCACCTTTTGCACAAAAGCACAACTGTTTTTTTTTGTTGTTAAAGAAATATAAACAGTGAAAGTATACCAACCATTTATTCCACTGATTCTCTGATAATAAATGTGGCAAGTGATTAAATTACAAAGAGTTACACCCTTACAGCTGAGGTACTGCATGTTCGTGCACGTAGCACCTATTAAACCTGATCTTCAAATCTTCCATCGCTGTAAGTTTTTGTTTGTTTGCTTTGAGTATTTCTTACATGCACCTCCTTTCCAGAGGCTTGAGAGTGTAAGAGAAGGTCACATAAACAAATTGGGGGCTTTTGGAGACATTCAGATAGGGTTCACAGGAGTCTTATGGAGCTGTTTTGCTGACAAAACATTCTCATCCTGTGAAAGAAGTGTGTTATGGCTTAAAACACAACCTGTCTTGCATACCAGTGAAATTAGAAGGATCCACTCACACATATACTCACTTTTAAATCAAGCTCTGATGGACTGCATAGTTGAGGTTTAACTTTCTCTGGATAAATTTGAAATAGATACCTGTCTTTTGCTTTAATCTATAGACTGTATGAATGACTGCAAGTGGTTGGGTGGTTGTTACCTGAGTCACTGTTAGCCAACTTCTGTATTATGATTAGTTAAACCAGATATATATGAATGAATTCAAGTGAACAAGTACCTGCAATTTCAATACCTTTGTCTTAGCAGAGGTCCTGTATCATAGTTAATCCAGGAACCAGTAGCCTGTTGTACCTATGAGCAAAGACAGCATGCAGGCAAATTGTTAATGGCACAAAGCAGGCAGGAGTTTTAGTGTTGTGAGAGACCTGTGCAAGAAGCATCAGTTCGCACTGAGTTCTGAATTCATTAGAACTCAAGTGACTTCTACAAGGCAAGATAATACTGCTTGGAACATCTCTTGGCACCCACTTACTGTCTTCTAACACATTTAACTTCAAATCAAGAAAGCATTCAAGAGAAGGAAAAGGCAGTCTGGCATCGTGTCTTGGAAGGCTCCTAGCATAACGCTAGGAGGTCACAGTAGCTTAATTACTAGCAGTTGCCTGTTCATACACATCACATGTCTAAATCATCTGGTGTTAATGTTTCCTTCATCAGCACCGTTAGCCAGTAATTCACGTTGCTGCTGCTGCTTACCTTTTCTCTGTTCGTGTAACCTAATGAGGTCATGGTAGGCTGAAGTACATGCATGTTGTCATGAACTCTCTCTACAGGATGCTGTTCTCAGGATATGTTAGCAGGTGAAATGGAGCATTAAGTTCGTGCAGACGGATATTTGAATGAGCTTATCCCTCATAGTGATGCAGATATCGACCCTGCAATCTCTTACTGGAAAGACCTGTTCTCAGTTGACCTGGACTCGTACCAATCAGATTTCTAACCTCTTTTTAAAGGCTTTAAATACTTGGCTGTTCATGGGTGGAATCACCAGCACTAAACACTGTTATACTACAGCAGAGTTGTAGTTTGCTTTCAGACATCAGGCTGGAGCTATGCAGAAGTCCTCAAAGAGAAGTGACAGTTCAAAAAAACCCGAGAGCTATTCAGATAATGTAAATCATTGATGAAAAGAGTTGGATAAGCTGGGGCACATGAAAATGACCCCAGCATTAGATCAAGTGCAAGAAACTTGAAACCAGTTTGTGAAAGAGCCCAGGGGAGTAGCTTGTAAAAGCAAGAGGGCTTGTACTGCTTGTGACACGATAGACCGAGCAGGATTTTCTTCCACAGCTAGGAGAAAATTCTCAACTAACATTTGATTGCAGCACGAAAGCAGGAAGACCATCAGACCCTGCCAGAACTTCACAGTTCATCGTGACAGACCAGGAGGGTACACCTCGTGTATTTCTAGTGTCTTTTTGCAGCGCAAAAGCGGAGGTATGTTCCTGGGGGTGGTAGGATGGCCGTTTGCTGACGCTCCTGGGAAGAGCATCCCGCGTGGTACCGTGCTGTATTTCACTCTGATGCGCATAGCATGCTCCTTTTTTTCTTCCGAATGCACCTTGCTGCCCCTGTGAAGAAGGGCCCAGACTTCCCAGGTAATAGCTCCTATATCTGCAGCGGTGGCCAACTATCTGAAAATAGTCAAGTAACCAAAAATCTGAACGTATTGTGGACTTTGTGAGAAGTCCTGGGTCAGAGGGAAGTACATCCGCAGTAAGAGACAAATACTAGGTCTGGCTTGAATGCAGTGAACTTGTTAAGTAACTGGCTGCTTAATGGAGCAGAAATTAAATATGGTTGTGCAGAATATTGTTTTCGGTAGCTAAGGAAATGAACTAACTACATTTGCGGTTTAGGTCACCTTGTAGTTATTGTAAAGCAGAGTCCATATATGACATGAATCATCTCCTGTTGTCTTACAGTACTTTTTTTTGTTCTCCTTTAAGTATTTTTAATCTTATTTTGATGCAGGAAATACTTGTATTGTATTTCTTGGTCTGTAGTTCAACGTAAAACTGGTGGCAGGGGCTGGGGAAGATGGTTCAACCCTGATTAAATTGTGCAGTGTAGGTGTGTGACAGGATGTTTTTTCTTTTGAGGATGCTTTAAGTATTAGTATGTTTCTCCTGCCTTTATTTTGTCATCAGATAGAATGAAAATAATGTTTTACTTATCTATAGTGAATAAGTTATAGCAGAGTTGCCGACACGCGGTGTTATTCTCATGGATTTTATCCTGTTTCTTAGCTGCTTACTGAAATTGTTTTAAATTGCTACGCAGCTAGTTGAGCTTGGCTCCTCTTTTTTCCTGAAAGCTCTGAAAACTTGCCCATATTCAGCAATTATGGTAATATGTGTAACTCTTAGTCATTTGTGTTCCCTGCACATTGCAGAGGTTTTACATGTTTATTCAGTGGGCCAGACCTCCAGTAACAGGGTAACCTCTCTGAAGAGGGATAGAATATAAATTCTTACAGAGGAATACTGGATTGCAACCTGAGCACTTCATGAAGCGTTTAGAAATACTTGACATGGGTGCATGACTGTTTAAATTAGTTTACTATCTGAACCTTCTCAGTAACAGCAGACATCCTAAAGACTGCAGACTCCCAGCTGCTGGTGGCAGGGACAAGTGATAGTTCAGAAGATGGGCCATCTAATTTTATGACAGGACAAAGACATGTGGCTGCCTCACCAGAATAGTCTTATGAGAACCTCCATCACTGCTATATCCTGACACATTTGTAAGGATCTGCTTCAGCTTCTCTTGTTGGAGAATCCAGGTCACTGATAGAGCGGGTGGATGGGATCAGGGAGGGAGTCAGAGGACATGGGCACAGCTGTCTTAAGCTTAGGAAGAAAATTTGACTTGGCAACATTTTTATTAGGGAATGTCAAAATTCAGGCTGATTGACAGGCTACTGTATATCTGAAGCACTTCCCAGCGCATGAGACTTTAATTCTGTTCTTCAGGTTCACACACTGAACATAACCTTATTCTTCCTCTACTGTTAAGGGGGAAGTGCTCTTCGGGGAGCCTTGTTTCGGGACTCCCAGCAAATGCATTAACAGGTGCTTTGGGAAAGGAAATGACTGAGAAGATGCAATTGTCTGTAACTATCCTTGCAAACTGCTCCACTTCTGGCTCTAACATGTTTGCTCAGTAGCCTGTCAGCTTTATGGAGGAAGCGTAACCATGCTGTTGAAAGGCTATTTTAACGCTATTATTATCCTTTTGCTTCTGTTCAGTAACGAGTCTTTAAGGCCTCAGAGACCTTTTTAAGTTTTTCAGGCTTAGCTAACACAGCACAGTGCTGAGAGACAACTGATAAGAAACACTCACAGCAGAGATTTATGTGGAATTAAGGCAATCTGAATATGTCCCAAAAGCACACACACAGTCATTACCATGACTTGGTTAACCCATGGTCACTCAACCCTTCTGTTTGATTTTGCTACTGTGTGCTTTCCAGCTCACTTTGTAGTGTTTACTCTTAAGACACAAGGGAAGTTTCAAAATATTCTCAAAATGAAGGGGGTGGATCTTGTAGCAGAACAATGTTTGTTCTAGTCCCATTTGCCATGGCCTACAGGCTATTACTCTTGCACAGCTATACAAATTACATATATGGGAAATTGATACTTATTTGCATCGCTTTGTATAAGCGAGTTGGCAAGCGTACATGAGGAATGGCTGGTTCTACTTGACCAGCTTTCCGCTGGCCATCCACAAATACTCTGTTCACTAATCTGTGGCTACAGATTAGTTTGTGCCCACCAGCCTGTTGCATTCAGCACTCTAACAAGGCTGTATGTCAGCACCAAGAGAAAACAGAGCTGAGGTTGTCACTCCTGCCCTGCAGAGGGAAGTGAGAATGGATGTGATAGTTGTAATAGGTAGAAATGATTTGGAAGTGGAGGTAGGGGCCCTTGGAAGAGTATGCTGAGGTCTGCTCTGAGCTAAACTTCTCTTTCCTTAATCCAATACTAACAGAATTTCTCTCCTTCCCCTGCAAACAGCCAGATGTTTTGAATGAGCCTATCTTCATTGAATAATCTTGCTCTGGGAAATAAATGGAAATGTGGTCAATTTATCACATTTCTTTGGTTTTGTGAGAATAAATTGACAGAGGTGTGTTTGAAACAGATAAAACGTATTCTTCTGCTTTCATAGTTTACTTGCAAGACCTGGATAAGGTCCAGATAAATTTCTGTTGTTGCTGACCTGTATTTCAGTGGCTTGCAGTTTGTATGGTGATTTTAGTGTTTGTTTTTTCTTCCCCTATGGATGCTAAAACTTGTGATACTTCTCCACTAATAACAAGAAATACAGAAGCAAATAACAGCTTGCTGTGAGGCAGATATCTGCAGCTGCTGTGCATGCCAGATTTTGAAAATTCAGAGTGTCTCTCTTTTTCTTTTTTCTGATGCCTAGGGCTTGACATGCATCTCTGCAAATGATGTGCGTGCCCCTCTTCTTACCCTGGTATGTCTGTGACTGTAGAGTGAAGTCTGCACACAAGAGCTATCTGGGTTATACAGAAATGTGAATCTGATGCAAAAAAGGGTTATCTCTGTCCCTTTTTTCACTTAACTCTCTTCACAGGTACCTATGTAGCGTGCTTTGGTTGAATAACTGGAAGACTAAATATAATGAGCCTAAGATTATTTTATTTTAAAAGGGAGCCTGGCCAAATATCTGTAAATATATTGCAAGTGCTGAAGAGTATATATTTCTTTATGTGAAAGTGTCACTGGAGCTGCTTCAGTGGCTGTGAAGAGAGGGGCCTCCCACAGAGAGAGGATGCCTGCGGGTTGGGGGTGGCTTGCTGCTGCGCAGACAAGACTTCTGATGAAGTGTGAAGGCTGGAGCGGCTCTTCTTTCTGTAGTGCTTTGTTGGCTGCGGGGTCTCCCTAGGGACAGTGGATCTGCACGTGCTGGACTTCTGTTTCTCAGCCTTGAGAACAAAAGGCATTCCTTCTCCCTTTCTGGAAAAGATTTTGGAAAAGAAAGCTCTTCATTACCAGGCTAGACCTAAGGTTTTGTTAGACTGATTTGATTTTGTTCCGTATGAAGTTTGGAATGTAGGAGCCCGTGCATCCTTTAGCAAGGAAGTCCCACTGGCTGCCACTTTGAATAGGACGGATTACAGCTTTAGAGTTTTCTTCTTTTGTTTTACTTTCTTGTTCTTACAGAAGCTTACTCTTCCCTGCTTCTGCAGTATGGCTGCAAACAATATTGATGCTGGTAGCTTTTAAGCCAGCATGAATGGCTTTGTTAAAATTATGACATGCTCTGTGACTGATTTTGTTATCCCTTTGTGTTTCAGAATGGATACAAAGAGGTGACAGGGGTGTTTCTTGGGAGGGCCAGTATTGTTGACTTGCTTTGGCTGGGTGGAGGATGCAAACAGAAGTGGGCTTCGGCAGCTGAAAAAGTCTAAGTGGGAAAGCGTGGTTTAGTCTGAGGAGAGTGAGTGAGATATGTCTAGATGATGGCAAATCACAAAGCATTGGCAGAAGGATTTGCAGCCTGTGTGCAGTTTATAGCAGGAGGTCATAGTGGAGGAAGAGGTGATAAACAGTACCTCTTGCTACTATGGTTTGTTCTAGAAAGAGGCAGAAGCAGCTGTCCATGTCCCTCACCTTACTTTATTTCTGAGTTACACCAGGTTAAAAGAAGATTTCTGTGAATTTTGTATCAGGAAAAACCAATTTAGTGGCCACAGCAATGGAAAGTCTTGGATATCTAGCTCTTAGAGAACTTGACTTCCATTTTTAGTTTCATTTCATTTTTCCCATTGTCACTGAATTCTGGACTTGCTGCGAAGATAGAAGTTAGAGCTACCAGACATTCATAGTCCCTGCACAGTTTAGTGAGTAGCACCCTAGACACATGGTGTCTTAACATTCATGATTTCCATCACTTACCCTGTTTCTTGCTTTGATTTGCTTCTGACTCTTTAGTTGAAGGCCTGAATAAAAAAGGGAGAATGTCTAATTTTATAAATAGTGTAAACTGTGTATTACATGTACATTGCAATATACAGGAGTTATTTTTTAAAGGCTTTTCAAGTGCCCCTAATGCTCAAAGAGTGTGGGATTGTCTGTATTTAGGGGCACCTTTGATTCAAGCTCTGCATGATAAGTTTCTGTCACGAAGTTGCATTTTGCATGAGATTCACAGGAGAAGAAAACAGAAACTCAAAAAATGATTTTTTAAAAATAAATGTGAAAATGTATTTCTAGTTATGAGCTTTATCTCATCCCTAATCCTAGCAACCTCACTGCAGGCTTTACCTGGACTGATTCATTTCTTCTTCTGCACCTCCGCAAAGAGGAAGGTGAGGCTTTTTCAGACTCTGAATGTTCATGTTCTCTGTTGTATCTTCATTTATTGCACGTGGCTGATAATTCAGCAAGTCTTTGCCAGTCAGTTCTGAGTGAATCAGACTGGACACGAAGTCTTTCTCTGAAATTTGAAGGCAACAGAAATTCTATAAAAGTTCCCACTTGCTGATCTGGATGCTTAGGTGCAAATTCTGGAGTTTCCTTATCTGAGCTATAGCCTGGGCTTTTCTTAGGCCTTAAGGAGGTGAGAGAGATGTGTTCCATTTGCTTTTTGCCTTCCCCCAGCCCGTGACAGCCTGGAGCTCTGCTGGGAGTGCATGCTTTTCCACCCAGCACCAAACCTGCGTGGGCTGAAGTCTGAATGACTAATTTCTACGCACTGTCACCTTAGTGTTCAGCACAGCCACACCTGGGCCAAGCGTACTTCCCCGCATCCTGTTCTTTCCGTCTCAGCAATCCCATTCAGTTCACATCTGTGAGAATGTCAAGGTTTTACAAGTGGCTAGTTCTTTCAAAACTTGTATGCAGTAGCAGGCGTTACCTTTTATACTTGCCCTTGAGAGCCATCCTTGGACCTCTGCAAGAGAGTCTGTCTGTAAAATTTTGCAGAGTTTTTCCAACACCTAGAAGATGTACAGGATAGTTACAGTGACAGAAGAGATGCTGATCGGCGACATGTTTTTTTTTTTGTGTTTTTCAGTTAAGCTCTAGCGTTGTGAGCATGCAGAGTTTTACAGCTGTGCAGATTGCCTAGAGATTGTCCCATCAGTTTTGCTGTGGTATGCAGCTACGTGAGCTAAGGACACCAGTCTGCAAAAGGTGATGCTGGGAGAGTACCATGTACAGAACACTTTGGAGACATGGGAAGGAAACCATAAGCAGTGGTTAGTGTATGTAAAGCCTCTTGCTTATGACACACAATATTTTCAGGCTGTTTGCTAGAGGACAGGTTTCAGCCCAGCACTGCTCCGTCAATGATTTCTAATAGCAACTTCCAGTTACCTGAGAGCAACTCAAATTAAATGCTAAATAAAGACTTAAGTCAATAGAATTCTCACTGGGGATAAAAATCTGACAGATAGCCTCCGGTAGTTCAACACCATCCTCAAAAGAAATAAAAATATGCAACAACACAGGAAACCATATAGTACAGCACTCATGTTTTACCTTTATTTCCTGATCCAGGTAGCTTGGGACATAATTCATGTTCTCTTGGATGTGAGGATTGTGATGCAAGTTGATGAATGGAGAGAAAGGCTCGGTGGGAGAAGCAGCGTGGTTTCCCTGGCTAGTTGCCGGTAGTGCAGAGGTTTGGAATCGTTTTTTCAAAAGCTTTTCCAAAGCAGAAAACAATATATAAAGAAATGGCTTGACTCCATTTTTAAATGGCAGTTAAAGGCACTGTGAAATAGGTGACTAACACTGGTCCCCAGCAAGGCTGTGAAGTAGAAAACATGTCTAAAACTGTTAGAGATTCTGTTGAATGGAGCCACAGATAGGAAATGCGCAGGTTGCTACAGCCTCTAATAGGTACCACCAAGAACAATACCAGATATTCATAGCATAATCTGTAATATTGAATTTTTCCCTTTATTAGCAAAGAAAATATGTGGAACAGTACACCATGTTTTGCTTTGACTTGTCTTTTTGGAACAGCTCTGTGTTTTGGAGAGATTTGAATTTTGGTATAAGAATGAAAGTGACCCAGCGTAACAACTAATGGAAACTGGCTGAGGAAGGGATTGAATCTGGACCTCTAGATTCTGTTTGCTTTTTAGTCATGGATTTCTAGTGTGCTGCTGAGTGAGTCTTCACTTCTCTGTGAGCAGGCTTACAAGTCTGTGAAAAGCACTGGAATCATAAAGTGCTTGGCAGAAGGCTTTATTTGTAAATGCAGTGGGGAAACCTAGAGGAAAAACAAAAAGCAACTAACAGAGTTATTAACGACAGTAGTTTACTGAGTATGGCTATAAAACAGTATCTGGCCATTGCATGTAGTTATTTTGCAGCTAAAATACAATACAATACAATAGATAGAGTTTGAAGAGCTGTATTCTGTATATATAAGTGAACAGTAAAGATAAAGCATGGCCTTTACTATACCCAGCTCAGGAACCTACAAGCAACAGTGAGAGAGGAGAAAAAAGTTAAAACCAGGAAAGTTCCAACAAAAGTTAAATCCTTACTTTCAGGGCCTCTGCTGCAAAACATCTTAGCAGTGCCCTCTCCTGTCCAGTACCAGTACAGCAACACTTAAATTGACTTTTTTGAAAGTGTAGGCAGTCCTCCTTGTGATACTGTATTTGTAATGGAATAGTAACCAAGCGCTCAGCTATTGCATTGTCACTATAGAGGAGACGAGTAATTAGATAACTTGCATCTTGAGACTAGGGAGTTATGGCAAAAATAATCTTTTACTAGAATTTATGAACACAGCTGCAAAGTTGGATCTAAATGCCTACTTGCTTCTTCTGCAAGACAGTAGAAGCAAAAGTAAAACTGTTATTGGCAAATAATTTAAAGCATCCGTGTTGAGAGGGGATGGTACTGGTTTTTTGCTGTACTTGTTTTTTATGATAGGCTTTATTGATATTTGTATGATAGGCTTTTCCCCAGCAGTTTGAGACTAAGTGAATTTCAATCTCATCTTCATCAAGTTTAATGATTTTTCTTACTAGCAAAACACAATGAAATTGCAGTTCCTTGGCATGATATCAGTGATCTATGTATGCTTTGTATTTCTGCTGTTTCTTTTTCACCGGTAGTTTGGTAACCAATTGCCCTGCTGTTCCAGGTTTAGATTACGTAATTCAGCATCGTGAAGCTGTGAATGTTTCCCTGTTCCCCGTGCACTTTTCCAGCAGTAATTAAGCCAGTGATTTTTAAATGGAAGAGCATATGGCTCCCTATGAAACCTAGAAAGAAGCTTTTCCAAGTTTCTCCTTCTCGACTTGCCCTTTCTGCACTCTCTCCCAGGGTTGTACTGGGGTGTTTGTTTTCTCCATTGCCTTGAGGGTAGTGTACTAATGACTGGTTTTTACGCAGATACTTATCCCACCAAGAAAAGGTAAAATGCTAAAGAGAGATATTCTGATCTTTTATCAGATGGTAGTTTCCTGCTTTGCTGAAAAAGGAAGAAAAAAACGGTTACAACGGTTACAGCAGCATGTGTCCCTTCTGATACAAATGTTCTTTTTGGCCATTTACTGAAGTAATCTATCAGAGGTAGCATGGCAACAGTCAGGTTGTACATGAACATATTGATGTGTGGTGTCAACAGAAAACTTTCCCAAACCAAACTAAATAAAGGGACAAGATGTAACAGCAGTGCCCAAGTCACTGTTGTTTTGGCAAGTAACTCAAGCTTTTTGAGTAGGTAGTAATTGGGTTTTTTTTGATGAGCTGGCTTTAACTATTTCATTTGCTGTGCTTCCAAACTGTCATGTAACTAGCAAGCTAACTTGTACCTGCTGATTAGCCTGGTTTGCATCCACTCTGTAAGCTTAAGCTATCGTATTTTCTTCAGGCAAAATCACTTCTTTGGTATCATACTGCAGTCAGAAAGGGGACATATTTTTCATCTCCTCGAAGCTCGCTATCACACATTCACATACATCCTCCTCAGATCTTGCAATTCACTGTAAAAGGAGCGTGAAATTCACCCAGGCTCTGCGGGTGTGGTGCAAATACAGGGTTAACAGAGACATCTTCGTGGCTGTTGCATTGTGCAGGTTATGTAGGAGGTGTAGGAGGGTTAATGTCTTTCTTAAGACGTCTATGTCACAGGTTTAAAAGAAAGCCAGGGTGCAGGATGGTGTTATGACTAGCCAGTATTTTGCAGCTGGGAACAAAGAAGGGTCATGTTGAAGGATCTCTCCTTTTCAGTTTAACACAGAACATTTGAGCAGTGCCTTGTGCTGTTAGTACAATGTGTGCTCAGAATCTCAGTCACAGCTGTTGGTGTGAAGATAACAGACTCAGCTGAAAGCAACACATTTATAACTCGGTTATCACCCTACTTAATACCATAGCCATTCCCTGCTCTCGTGTTCTACATTTTGGATCCTCAGCTCCCTCTTTTGGGGACTGTCTTGTTCAGCCTGAACCAATCAGTTGAGATTACAGTTTTCAGAAGTGTGGAAGAGAGTGCTAAAATAAAAAACTGTATGACAGTTTTTTCCTTACCTTTTTAAGTGAAGTAGGGGTATTTGGAATCCCTTTAGGAATGTCTGCAAGTCCTTCTTCCCCCTGTTCTGGAAGTCAACAGGCAGAGGTTGAAAAATAAACACCTTGCATTATGTCCAGGGTGCCAGTTTTACATTAGCCTTGTATTAGAAATCTGTAAGAAGGTGTACTTCCTTCCCTTTTTATTTGCTTTTATTACCTAGTATGGCAAATTAATGCAATTATATGCTGGGATGCCAAACAAAGTTAAGAAAATCCTGAAAAACGTATCTCATCGATGTACATTTACAGTGCTTTGTAACTGCTACTGCAGAATGTTGCTCACAGGTGCAATAATTGCTGGTAACTGTAACATAAAATATTAGCTGTCTAGTGAGTACGTGATCTTTAAAACATGTAAAGTTACAAGTGTAATCAGCAAGGAGAAAATAAATCCTTTAAGATGCGGTAGCTAAGAAGAAATGTTTGCCTTTTTAACACAAATTCATTGCCCTGGATTCCCTTTATGTGAACCTTAGCTGTGATGCGACAGTACCCTGACTGAGACCTGGTTCCACCTTCAGCAGCTAAGATTCTTTTTCTGCTGCTGCGTAATGCAGCAGTTTGGTGCCCCTACTCACGTGCTCCGGACTGCGAAGAGCCTAACCCCTTTCTCATGCAAGCCTCAAGCCTTGGAAAGTAGTTGTTGGCTGATGCATTGCTTGTAGTGTTCCCAGTTAGCAGATGTTGTTGATCAGCTTTGTGCTCCAGGATTACTGTTTTGCCAGCGGATACGTGTTCTCTTAAAAATCTGTGTGTGTCTCTTACAACACAGATAGGAGCATTGTTTAACCCTGTGCAAAAAACCAAATGGATACAGGCTTTACTACAATGAGCAAGCATACATAGTAACTGTATAGGTGATCTCAAAGGAGAGTCCGTGCTGGATGAATGGAAAACAAACATATAACATAAATTTATGCATAAAAATGAAGAGCTTATGCAATGACTCAAAGGGAATTTCAAGAACCTGAGAATCCTAGCAGGAAAAGTACCACCCCTTTGTGATAACATTTGCAAATGCAGTATGATTTAGTTATTGCATTAGGTCCATAGTTGATCAGTCACAATCTGTGCTGCTCATACCAGAAGCATGATAGGAGCAGAACTAGTAGCATATATGAGAAAAGGTTGCCTTCTGTCTTTTGAGAGTACAGCCTTGGAGCCAGTATTGGAGAGAGAAACATAGATGAGTTCTGTATCCGCTCCTTCACGTGTGTAGTCAACTGGAATTTTTATTTTTCTCAAGTATTTAAAAACACTGCCCTGTGCTTTTTTTCTTTTGACTATCCAGTGAGGCTTTTTCTGCATTGGCAGGCAAGTTCCTGAGTCATCCTGAGACCAAAATCCCAAATGCGGAGCACAGAGTGGCTGAACTGGGTATACCGGAAAAATCTGTTAGAAGGCTCTGAACTGTTACCACATAACCTTTTGAACACCCGTTTCCCTGATTATTTAACCAGGGAAGCCAGTCTGATAGCACAACAAGCAGAGGCAGGTATTTAAACAGTGAATAAAGAAAGCATATTTTGATAGATAGCAGAGGGACATAAGCAGTTATTGCTCTATTATAGCGGACAGTGTAATCAGCCTCTTATCTGAACAGTGATGATGTTCCAGATAGAACCTGGAGAGTGGCCAGATATGGTGAAGCGCCCTTAGTTAGCAGTGATAATTAGAAACATCGTTCTTGTGCCCGTCTTAGAAAGCCTATTACCTTAGATGAGAGCAGCAGAAATTAATGAATTATTTTTCAGATGCCATCAGAGAATTTTAATTTGTTTTGTTCACTTGTGTGCACTGTGTGATTTCTGTGCAAATTCATTGTGTTTTAAGGCCAGAAAGGACCAGTAGACAGTCTATTCAGGGTGCTTGGAAAGTATTTGTGTGCCCCTGCCCACTGTGAGCTCTCTCCCCTCCTCTCACAACAGGTTTTGCTCGTTCATTCCAAAGCATCTTGTTCAGGTCCTGGACCTTTTCTTTTGTGTCATCTCCAATTTTAGAGCATGCTTTGAAAGGGAAGATTATCGATAGAGTTGTACATAGTATTCCTGTATCAAATTTCTCAATGCTCTATGCAGAAACAAAATTAATTTCCTATCTCATCTCATTACCCTGCTCGCCATCCTGGGTTTACATTACCTTATGGTGGTCTGTCACACAAAGAATTTATGTTATCTTTCCATTAAGAACCTCTAGTTCTTTTCAGACAAGTGCTTTTTGAAAGCATTTCTGTTCTCCCTTATTGTGGCTTGCGTTCTTTTGTTGCTAGATGTATAACATCGCATTTAAATGTTGTCTAACAATTTATATTACCAAGTTTTTAAATCAGAAGTTTAAATACAACTCCATTAAACATATTCCAGAGGTTTAAGCATCCTACATCTATGCTGTTACCTTTTCCATTACATTTTTATTCTCAAAGAGTTAAACTAAACTTTTATGTTCTCTTTTACAGAACACGTTTTCCAAGAATCCAGACACACTAACATGGTTATGCTCTGATCTTTTCACACTTTATCAGGTGAATCCTTATCAACCTTTCCACTAATTTGTCTCTGGAGTGCTGGCAGGCTAACAGCCTTTAGCTGCCTTAGTGCATCCTACCTGCTCTTCTTGATTCTTGACTGTGCCAGAACTTTTTCAGTTTCCTCAGGCTTCTCTGCTCTTCTAGGACTTAAAGAGTTCTACTAGGAACTTTTAAAAATAACATTACTGTCTTCAACTAATTCTTTAACATTCCTAGATGGAAATTACCAGGTTTGTTCGTTCTTACAACATTAAGCTCTGGCAAGATATCTTTGGGACTACTAAATTTACTGAGAAACTGGAAAATAATTTACTATGAGAGATATTTTTTTCTCTTTCTGAAGAGAATCTCCTTAGTCAATACCACACCTTTTTCCTGTACCAGTCTTAGCAATTTCATGGTGTATTTTATGAATAGACCTATGCAGTTGGCAGAATATCTTTCCTTCCTAATATATCTAAAAGTAACTCCTTAGTTGGCCCTACTTACATATGTGTCCTAGTAGTTCCAAGCTTCAGTTTATTGCAGCCTGACAGACGTGAATTAAGTTGAAAAACTGCCTCTTGAAGATATTGACTGTGCATATGCAAAAAGTAGAAGTATATGTTGGACTGGAGCCTTGCAAATTTAGAGTTTTGCTGGCTTTCATGTTTATTGTATCTCATAAACTAAGCTCAGATTTATGAGCTTACAAAAAGATGGTTCCTGCAACATCACAACAGCTTTGTATTGAAAAATCAGTGTTGACTTTTTCCTTCTTAAACCCTACCTGTAGGGCAGTTTATACCCTTCATGTTCAGAGAGATTGCAGGTATGCAGTTCATTCCAGTGTAATGAACTAGGAGGAGAAGGTTGAACCTAACAACTGAAATTTAGTCAGTCTGTAGATGCATTATAAGGACTGGAATCCTCCTTTCGCAGCTACAGTGATAGGAAGCGAAAAAGAACACCTTATATTTATCATTAAACTACATCAAACTGATTTTAAAATAGGAAGCATTTTTATTAAGTAATTGATTTTTTTCAGAACCTTGGTTCTAACAAATATCTGACATAAGATACATACTAAGCAGAAAGTAATTACAACTGAATATAACTTTCGTGAGGGTAATGAGTTAGTGAGTTAGTAGAGTCTACAAAGTTGCTTCTGAAACAAAAAACCATCTTAAGAAGTACTGTTTCTCCTGCACTTGGTACACTGTTTTTCTCTGTATTCCTTTCAGGCGTAAGAGTTATAATCACAGCCAAATCTATCATGCAGCAGAGCAGCACAGCGTTTATAGAACAGCAGGTTAGCATTATTGCATGCTGCATTGTGTAACAGGTTGCTCCTTGAAAGGTGTGCGAATTATGTAGGTGAGAGTGAAATATAAGAAAAAAGAATTGTGAAAGACTTTCTCTCTAAGAAAAATTTCTGGCACTCTTGGTACACTTGTGAGCACAAAAGGAAAGAGAAAGACATTAATTTAGCTTAAAAGAAATCCCAGATAGTTCTTTTTGTGAAATGATTGTAGTTGTACATTGTAAACAATTTAGTGCTGCTAGTCTTTACATTGTCAACCTGAGATTATCCAATGCTGAGGACAAATAAGGATTCTTAATGGGTTGGAATGAAGGAAATGACTTTGTGCATGCATATTGGAGTGTACCTGCGGCACACGCTAAGTTGTGAGCAACAAATTTGTAGTGAAGTGTGTCTTAATATAACTTTTTCAATGTTTTATTCTGAGTAAGATGTCCTTCGCTTCTGTCTGTAAAATGAACACTTCACTAGCGTGCAAGTGACCACACCAGGAACGCTGCATATCCATATGGTCCCTGAAGGGTCTTGGTATTTCGGTCATGACTAGTCACAGTTCCAAATGTGGGATTTCTTACCGAGTTTGCGCACACTGGTGAAATGCTTCTCTTAGAAAAATACTGGAAAAGGAGGGGTGGGTGATTTTTAGAACAAAACCACATTACAGTTATATTTCTCTTCATACTTACCGGGGCAGTTTGCCAGGCTAGCTATGTGGTCCCTGAACAGCTCTTACCTTGTATGTGACAGACCGTCCTAGGATGTGGAACATGCCTGGACAAGAAGTACGTCCCATCTGAGCTTCTAGAGGGAGAGTAATGTGGGTTGTTCTGTGGCATGTTGTGGTTGGACTGAGGTTCCAGCTGTGACTTGAAATTGGTATTCATTGTGTAACCTTTTTTATTCTCTTGCAGAGTGTTATTTTGGAGAGCAGGTTGACTCTCCAGCTCATCAGCTGAGGCCAAATGCTGGAAGTGAAATAAAGACCATGAACTAACATGGACAGAAAGGTAGCGGAAATTTCAGTTACTGTTTTTCTTGTTAGTGCTTCATATATTTTTACCTCTTCTACACACGTTTCGGGGAAGCTCTAGGCACAGGGAGGTGGAAGCAAGCTACCTATTGCTTCACTCCTAGGTAGTTACCTCAGTCACCTAACACTGCTTGTGGTCACTTTTCAGCTGTCAGTCCTCCACCTGCTCTTATTTTCATGTTATTTTTGTTCAGGAGCTCAGCTGCTCATTGCCATGTGCATCTGAGACACCTTCGTGTAGTAATATATATAGTATATTAAAATACAGGGGTAGATTGCTTTCTGACTTGTGAAGAGAACTAAAGGGACTAGTACTGAAAGCAAAGGAAATGTCTAGGCCTTTTTGACTTCTATCTTTACTAAAGGCAGTATATACAGAGAGACAGTCCTATGTTTCTTAATACTTGGAGTCTCTTCTAGATTTTGCTTTTAAAGGCTGAACAATAGACTAGGAGCTGTTATTACCATTAACGTGACTTTTCTTCCTTTAGTGCAGTAGAAATCACTAGCGTTCACAGTGTTCTTTGTCTCTGACACCTTGGTTAGGATACTCGGAACGATAACTTCGAAGGTTGGGAACATCCCGAGAATGGTGAGTTACTGAAGGCACCTTGCAAATGTCACACAGAAGGTTTATCTAATATACCTCACAGCGACTGAGAACCAAGTTGCTTTGAGTTCATTTCTCTACCATGTCCCAGTGGTCAGTGACACTAATGGATTATAGGTAACGTGATGTGTCCCTCTGAGGCACATTTCTGCCCTGGCCATTGCTGACTTTGTGTATGTGCCTCCCAAAGGACAATTTTTAACAGTGCTGCCTAGATTAAAATTATAAATAGTCAGAACGTTGTCTCATCTCTTAAAAGCATTACAGTGGATAGACGCAAACCTAGATTAAATAGTTTTCTATCATTTATGTCTTTCCTGACAATCCACTAAATAAAAAATTGTGGACCATGCAATATTAAATGTATTTTTGCTTTTGTTTTAAATAATTACAATGAATACTGTAGACAGAGGATTTTTTTGCTGTTGCCATTTTATATTTGGGTCTTAGGCGCAGCTTGTTGACTTCAGTTCGAGTTGAGCCAGCGTGTGTGGAAATACACTACCAAGAGGCTACTTTTGTTGTTAAATCACACTAAAGTCTATTTAAGCAGAGCAGGAAAATCTTGTTTTCCCTATGACATACCTGAGCTTGGTATTCTCATGGCTCAATGTATAACATATACATAAAGTGTAAAGCAGCCTCCAGTATCCACTACTCAGCAGTTATCATGGCACCTTCAGTTTTGCTTTTATGCCATATTTGGTTGTTCTGTAATCTCAGATAAGCCTTGTTCCTGAAAAATAACAGGTATACCTGCAGTTTTAACATGTCAGCTCCCAGGGCTAACACTTCTATTCTGGAAGAAATGCATCTGCATGAGAAGCTATACCAGCATAACAAGAGGTAGCACGATTACATTTAGGCTAATATGTCTCCTCATAGCACAGGCCCTTCAGGCTTTTCTTTGAGTTCGTGGAGTCTACAAAGCTGCTTTCCTCCATTCTCTCCCTCTCTCCTCTTCCCCAGAAGAGATGAGGATTAAACTGTGTTTCAGATATTACCTCACAAGCAGTTGTGGAGAACTCTTTCTCCATAAGAAAGTCACCTGTAAGAGCTCCTGGCTGGAGAGGCTAGGTAGGCTGAGAATGGAGAAATTCAACAGCTGTCTCTTGGGGTCAGTAGGCAGTGTGTGGCTTTTGGAACATTTTAAGGTATATGCAGAGAAGATAGGATTGGGAATTTTTTTCAAGCAGCTCTTAATTATTTACAAGGTTACATTTTTATTCCATAACTTTTTCTGACCCAGGGAAGAACTCGAATGAACTGACAGATTTTGCAATGTGCACAGAAGCTCAACAAATAGGAGGCTTGCCAATCTGAAAACAAAGAATCTAAGTTCCAGAGTTGAAGGTCTCGCAATTAAGTTCATCGTATGCCATGAGAAACCAACCGAGACAAGGTCGGAGTTTTGTCCCTTGTGAATTATTACATTTTAGTGCATGAAGATGGAAGCTGCAGTTCATAGAAGTGCTTTGTAGGTGATAGGGAGCTTCTATTTTCAGGAAATGCCTGGGAGCAGATAAAATACTTCAGAGGTAACATGACTAACAAATAAACAATGGAAATAAAAAAGAAAAAGAAGGAAAGGGGAGTGATATAAGCGAATATTCTTTCTTAACTATGATCTGCATTACCTTCTAGTTGGCATTTTGATCACATGCAGCAATACTGGCAAATGACAGATGCCTTGGTGTTAGTCCTGCAAACTGCTGCCCTACACAAATCATTCTTGAAGTGAATCAGAAAGATTAGGCATTTTACCAGGTAACCTGATTTCAGTGTGGCCACAACAGATGTAGTTATTTCTTCCTGTACTCTTCCATACTAATCAAAAGTGCATCCAGTTACTTTCCCTAACACTTCTCTAATTTTTCTCTGACATTTGAATGTTCATAAAGTCATTGATAAAATCAATTTTCACCTCCCTACTGAGTTTTGTATTGCTAGAACTCTACTGACTCGCTACTGATTTTTCTAAAGTGAAATTTGAAGTCAGAGTTTTGTTTTGGGGAAAATAATAGACTTAGGCACTAGTTTTGAAGAAAGGCTTTCCCTAGAGTTACTATTTATACTATGAAGTCAGATGTGAAGTAGTTGCCCTTGGCGATTCATACTGTCTTCAGTTGTGATGTATAAGTTATTTTACAGGTTTATGTTTCTCTCTATTAATGTAAGAAAGAAGATTTAAAGGAAATAGTTTGGTCTTTGTGGATAGAAATGATAGAATTGCGGAAAATCTGTAGTATGATTCATTAATCAGCATAGAGAATTTTAGGTAGCAAGTGAATTTAACGATCTGTGTATTTTCAAGAAGCGTTTTGATTCTGAATCCTACAATGCACCTATGGCATTACACTGAGCTTTAAGTTTTTGTTTATTTTTCACCGTATCTAGTCATGCTTAACTGGTTCACACAGAATGATGAAGAATTAATTGATTTCTGATTCCATCTTGTAAGAAAGGAAATTTTTCCTTTTTCTTTGTTTTCAAGGATGTGAATTATAAACAACGTGCAGCACCAGTGAGTCAGGCCTAGGTTAACATTAGCTAACCTGTTTTGTTCACTACAAATGTGAGGTAAGGTCTTCATCTGTAGCTACTGTCTTGTTGTGATTTCAGTAAAAAGCATGCTTTCCATTTGGACCAATTTATCTGTAAAACACATGTTCATCAACATATTTTGTTGGGGTTTTTGTCCATCAGACATCCATCTAGCCAAGGGCTGCTTTAAAGTCTGGAGCAAGAATGCTTTTGGGCCATTAAACTCTTATGCCTATACTATCAGAGTATTTTATCCTGGCTTTCAACCACTCCAGGTTTAAACACAATCAAATTCCAAAATATATTAGCAGAAAAGTTGGTTAGATATTAAAAAAATAAGACATCATAACTGAATAGAAATAGATCTTCCATTTTTTAGGAAATTCCTTATGATGGTGGGATGCCTATTTTTGCCTGGCAGTATATAATAAGAATTTAAAATACCTGTATCTCCTGTTACCAAAAAAAAAAAAAAAAAAAGCATATCTCCTGATATTGGCTTTAGTGGTTTGATTGAACTTTGATTCCAAAAAATATTTTAACTGGGAGACTAGTCTTTCTAAAAGCCCTATAGTTTCTTTTTTAAAATGTGTAATACTTGCCATAAAATGTATTGTCCCTATCCTTAAGATTAAATGCTTACTAAAAATAGCGTATAAATAACTTGTCGGAGCAGAAAATACCTTATTTTTCTGGAGCTTCTCATTTTCAACATAATTCTACTTATGCTTCTGTGTACGTTACTTATAAAGGGCAAACAGTGTTTATTTACAGGTGTTTAAACGTGAAGTCACATGGGAGGGTTTTTTTCTTTACTAAATTGTTTAGTAGATTTCCTGTGGCACTCTTAATTGCCTTGTAAAGCCTAAGTCTAAAATCTCATCAGTTACTTAGAAATTTCACAGTACTATGGGACAATTGTTGCGGACACAACAGCAACCCCTGGGATATAGGGGTAAATGGTATTCATGGCATTGCGTTAATATTTGAATTACTAACATTAAATGCAGTGATATCACGAACGATTGGATGCTTGTAAAACTGTATTACCAGCCCATGCTGTTACTTTTGTTGTGTGGATAAAATCACACCCAAAATGTTGATCCCACCCAAAATGACACTTAAAGACTTCCCGTTTCCTTAAGAAAGAAGTGTATAGTAGCTATTTAGAGTACTCTCATATCTGATTGTGTTAATGGCTCATAAGAAAAAATGATTGATATCCATATCTCTACAACTTATGTTGCTGGTTGCATTTTTACCAGATATCAATCTACACCTGGAAAACTTTAAAAAGATTGGTGTAATAAAAAGAAACGTTGAACTACCTGACAAGCAGTGCTGCAAAGGATGTCCTTTTTAGCAAGATGCCAGGTTAGTGGCGTCTTTTTCCAGCTACAGCAGGTGAACTTCCCTCTGTACTAAGCATTCCTGTCTTTTCTAAGGTAAGAGATTATCTGAGCAAACAGTGGCCCTGGTTGTTTGCAGTGCTGAACAACTTTATAACATGCAGACAAGATGTCTTGTGATTGGAGGGAAATATGGGAATTCCAGAATCTCCTGTGTTCTTTACATCTTTTATGACGTCTTTTAGCTGTATGCAGCTGTGATCATAGCAACACACCAATGTACTTTGCCTGTCATTAACAGAGAGAAAAACTTGAGTGCTTGCACCCAATTCATATTTTACATTCTTAGCATTTTGTCTCTTTGATATGAGAAGAATATTAA